TCCATAGCCACTGTCTCTTCTGAACGTTTGAGAACTTGTTCTGATTAGCTGGTGTCCCTGCCATACCATGGATAAATACTGTGAATGTCATCTCCATCTGTGTGCAACCTTAAAAAGGAGTACTCACCTTCATTTTCCCACTGTATTTAGGATCAGAAAGAGTTTCAAAGGACGATTCTTTGCTTTTCTGCACAAAATCCGGGAATTTGGAAAATACCTGATCACATATCCTTTTGATAAGGGTTTCCTTGTGAGGGAGAGGTAAAAGATAAGAATTTCAACTTAACACATTTAAACCTGCATACATTGAAATTGTTTGTGGAGAAAATAGTTATATTTACAAGGAATGCATTACTTTGAAGATTTTGCCTTCTCTAAATCAGAATAACTCAGAAAATCTTAAAGTGATATTAAGATATATGCTTTGATAAATATGACTACTAACTTTATTATTACTTTTTCAAAATTTCCAAAACTGGGAAATAAACACCCCCAAGAGTAAGTGTACTGATAAATACAATCAATAAGAGTATAAGTTATAGGTTATAGGCTAATAAAAAATATAGATTATAGATATAAGATTTTGATAAGTGAGATAAGTCAATTATAAAGCAAGAACGGCCATAGGTAGGCCTAAGACTCCATTTTGCAGTTTTCTATTAAAAAAAAAAAAAACTATTACAAGAGCTGTTTCTGACTGAAATGAAAGCTGTTTTCTTACAATATATTGTTTGCTGTACTTTATACCCCACAAAATGTACTCAACCCAGAATATGATGGTCTTAATGACCCAGGACTTTGAAGTAGATTCTTGCCTCCATTAACAACCTGCCCGAACTCAGGATATGCTTGACTAACACCTGCTCAAACCCAAGATGTGATTGTCTTGAGTTCCTGTGCTAATTGCTGCCTTAGCTTCTACAACTGGTTTGCTTACATGACACTAAGGAAAGTCCCTGAGCTTCGGTTTTCATCCTTAAATTCCAAGACACAGACCAAGTGGTTGCTGCTCTTCCACATACTTCAGTCTGTATGGGTG